CTAGTAATCCTAGGTTAAGGAGGTATGTTCGCGATGGACAAAATCCATTCGAATATTACGAAGATGCTGAATTCAAAAGACGGTACCGATTCAGTAAAGAGTCGGTATTGTGCGGTATTTTACCGAAAATTATTGACGGTTTGAAGAAAGTGAACAACCGTGGCCTACCAATTGCACCAGAGCTGCAATTACTAATGTGCTTGCGATATTATGCAAGTTCAAGTTTCCAGGTAATTTATAATTTTTATAAGTCACTATTGTATTTTCATGTGTTATTTACGTAGTATTAATGGTTAACGTTTATTGACGTTTAATTAATATTATGTTATGTATAATTAATTTAATGTTCATTGACGAAGTCGTTTACAAACTATTTACAGCAGGTGCTCGGAGACACGATGGGCATCTCGCAGCCCACAGTTTCCAGAATCGTCAACCGAGTCAGCGATTTGCTCGGAAGATTAATATTCGAATACATAAAGTTTCCGAACAGTGATGAGGCACGCCGGGAAAATCGTCGTTTATTCAGAGACCTAGGGCAAGGTAGTGGAGCTATCGGTTTACCCGGAATCGATGGAGCCATCGATTGCACCCATGTCAGATTGACGTGTACGAGGCTGAACGACGTCAATGAAATTTTTAGAAATAGAAAAGGATATTTTTCTCTTAATGTACAAGTACGTTTTCATGCCCTCTTTCTTTTTTCTTTAAGGACTACAACACTCTCATTAAGGAATTGTACGATTGTATTTGTAAATTATGAACTTCGTTACAGGCGGTTGTTGGGCCTAGAATGGAATTCCTGGATCTTGTACCGGAATGGCCAGGCAGTGCGCACGACAGTCGCATCTTCCAAAATTCTAGAGTACATATGCGCTACGCGGAGAGGCAGTTGGATGGGATGCTTGTAGGCGATCGAGGATACCCCTGCTTGCCGTTCTTAATGACTCCGCTCGCAAATCCCAGGACAGATGAAGAAAGAACGTGAGTACCTTGTTGTTTACAACTAACAAGTTTTTCAATACACTTATATTCAATTCAATAGAATAGAATTATATTCATTGACTATGATACACTTGTAGGTATAACAATATCCACACGAGGACTAGACAAATCGTGGAACGGACGTTCGGAGTGTGGAAACGAAGATTCCCATGTTTGTCGAGGGGACTCACAACACAACTCTTGTGCAGCACAACAACTGTGGTGGCATGTGCTGTGCTGCACAACATGTCTCTAATATTCAGGGATATACTCCCTGAGGAAGAGGAAAATGACGTGGACATGACCGAGGAACCACAAGCACCTGCGGTAGAAGAGGAACATGCGTCTGGATTGGCTGCTCGCGAGGCGCTAATTAACCGCATGTTCAGTTGAATGCGACTATTGTTATATTTAATAAATCTCGTTCTATGTTCAAAACGTATTAGTTATTTAGCCCTCCTTTAAATAATTTCTTTCCGCCCAATACCCTTATTTTTTCACTGTATACAGTTTGTTTTCGTTAATGGAGATAGTACGGTGACGATGATGTACAACTAGTATAATAAAACTATAAGAATACAATAAATTTATTGATGAATCACTTTTTTCTCGTTTCACTACAATCATGGAAAATTTCGACATTCAGTGCTTTTACGTCATTACTACACTAATGCAACAGGAAGTGGATTGGAAAATAAGTTATTTACCAGGTTTTTTTAATGTAATATTGGTATAATATATTTCACACATTCTAATGTTATATATAATATTTATATAATGTTAATACCTTAAATTAAATACAATATATTTTAATTATGACGCATATATATATTTTAATTATCACAGCGCAGCTGAAGAAGTTTTGGAGTAATTTAAAAGCGCAGCAAAGGGACGTGCTGACAAAGGAACGCCAGCACGTATTGCGAACTGCAGGAGGACCACCGTTGAATTCAACGGTGGAACCAGATCCGGATATTGCAGCATTAACACCGGAACTTACGTATACAGCGCCTGTGCTGTATACTTCGAATAACGTGCAGGACAACATCATTAATTATGATATTAATGATACGGAGGAGATGGAGGACAGTTTCCATTAATTCATGTTGTGTGTTCGGCGGCCTTCAGTTTTTTATCGAGTATTTTCAATTTCTTTTCGTACTTCTGCCGCAAATAAGAAACCTTTAGTTTCTCTTGCTGTACTTTCAGCCTCATCCGTTCTATTTTTAAGTTATATAGTTCATTTTTATGGGTTTCTTTTCTGCATACCGTTTCCACAACAGCTAAAAACATTAAAAATGAAATATACAATTCAATTTATATAACATTTTATGTCTTACTTATTAGATGTAATGTTGCTTACCAGTGTCATTTTCTGTTTCAAATTCCGAGATTGTTTCAAAAGTTTCGTCGGTCACAGCTGGTTCCGTGATGGCTGGTATGGATGCATGGGCTGGTTCCGTGATGGCTTGTATGGATGGATAGTATGATTCGGTCCTGTCCTCCATCTCTTCCGTATCAATATCATAATTATTAATAATGCTGTCCTCCACATTATTTGATGTATACAGCACAGGCGCTGTATACATAAGCTCCGGTGTTAATGCTGCAATTTCTGGATCTGGTTCCACCGTTGAATTCAACGGTGGTCCTCCTCCAGTTCTCAGTACGTGCTGGCGTTCCTTTGTCAGCACGTCCCTTTGTTGCGCTTTTAAATTACTCCAAAACTTTTTCAACTGCGCAATGCTTCTCTGAAATAATTGTTTTCAATTAATACCCTACATTTATTGTGCAATAACAAACATTGCAGTCACGCTCTTTGAAAAATTTGTTCACAAATAATAAATAATAATTTTCTTACCTCGCACGATATAACTGAGCTCAAGTTATATTCAGAATGAATCAATCGCCACGCTTCTTCTTTTCTTTGTAACGTGCTATTGTCACTTTTCTTCGTTTCAATTGTTCGCGAAAATTTTTTGAGAATATGCAAGAATAATCGTTTCTCACAGTCGGTATAATGCTTACGACTTTGCATTTTTCTTTTACAAAATTACCACTTTACTCACGATCAGAACAGAATATTCTCTTCACGTGGACGAGCCGTGAGAAGTGAACTTCCCACGCTTAATTCGAAACATATGAAAACCATAAAAAACGAAAAGCTGCATCCGCGAAACCATTCCTCATTGGCTGATACACTGGAAACTTTCCGGAGAATGCCGAAGGGAAATAAGCATTTGCTCAAGCATTTGCTTCGAATAAGCAAGCCTTCAGATGTCGCTTTTCGAATAAGCAAACCTTAAGTTCGGACTGTGAATACATGAGGTCTTGAGGCCACCTTATTCGAATAAGGCGAACTTGGTCAAGCAATTGCTTGAGCAATTGCTTGAGCACGGACTGTGAATACCGGCCTTAGAATAGATTCCTTCTCCCCCCTCCGAGGGGGGAGAGCTGGAGTGTTACGTAAATCCTCTTTGCTCACGGTATCGAGAAATTTCTACGCCACGTGGTCTGTAACCTCACTTTCTCTTACCTCTCTATCTTTGGTCTTTACTTCTTCTCACTAAATCAATTAATTCTTACTCGAGTATCACTGTTCATTCCCACGTTTTTTTTTAGCACTGTCCGACTATATCTAAAACAGAAGGGAGTATCAAATCGACTCAAAACGAATATTTCTCTGACAACGAGCAATTTTATTCACTCTTCCACCATCACTCCTTCATTCGACTAAAAACTATCGACTAATTAGTCGATAGTACGTTGCGATTATTCCCTAGGTAGTCGATACTTTAAATTAGTCGATAGTGCCCATCACTAGTCGGCGAGCTGAATTGCATCGTGTAAACTGGTCGTGAGTGGACTGTACATCATGCATCTGTTTATACGTATGAGAGCAAGGGTTCGTATAATTTGTCGCGCACGGCTCGCTTCCCCCCTTTTTCGCTCGTATTTCGATCCCCACTACTATTCTCTTCATGCATCTTAGCTGACCATGCC